AGGTACTTACGTTTGAACTGTTTGGCATTAAAACTGCATCCATTATGCAGTTTTAAAAATTGATTAAGTTTATCAGTAAGTATAAACTGTAGAGGATATGACAATATTTTGTTCTTTTTGCTTGTAAGGCCTTGTGAATGTGGTTGGTACAGGATTTACACTGTTTCCAATGCTCTTATTAGTTCCACCATTTATTGGAATGTAAGCAAATGAAGGAAAGAAATGCCCACTGAGTTATTTTTATTTCTTATCAATTTTACAATTAAGATCATCGTATAGGTCTCAACCCACATGTGCAAATATGAATACGTTGCCTGCAAGTATAATAATATTACAATGTGCTTGTTTTACTTGCTTAATTGTAAGTGCAAAAATTATGTTTGTAGGAATAGAGACCTACAGTAAGAAACCATACTCGGAATATCAGTCCTTTTAATGTTATTTTCATTCAAAGTTGCATTGTGTTACCATCTGGATTTTAAGGAGATCTGAGAGGGGTTGATAGCTGTATCACTGAATTCACTTACCTATCAAGAAACGGAGGTCAGTCTTTTGGTGGGTAATTTTTATGTAAATTACCACTAAAATGATCCACAGCAATTTTTTTTCTTGAGAGCTTCAATGTGTTCAATGACCTGATGTGTTTTTCTGCTCACTTTGTAGAGGACCATAGCGATTTGTGTCAATCTTTTGCAGCTAATTTCTTTGACTTTGAAGTAAAAATCCTTTCTTACTTATTCATTTGTTTTAGGACTGCAATACCTTCAGAACAGGCTCTGGGCTTCCGCATTTGCTTCATCCTTTGACCTGGATGCTTTTGTTTATAGATGATAGTGAAGTTCCATTAGTTGTCCATTATACAACTTTAAGTATTTGAACTGCTCATGTCATGCCGTTTGGCTTTAATACACAATTAAAAAATAAAATAAAATAAAAAAAGCTCTGTTGGAGTTTTGTGGTTTGAGCCTTTATGGATCAAATTGGCATGCTTTCCTTTGCTGTGCTGGTTTGTTGTTGTTGTTTTCAACTTAGGCATACTCTTACACCGCTAGGATAAGAAGTCACATAGAAAGGACTAAAAACCCTTCACACAAAAAAAAACCCCAACCCAAAACAAAACAAAACCAAAAAACACTTAGGAAGTATTTGTGAAATTATGTAAAATTTACATTTCCAAAGCATCAGATTTCTCTGTAGGTAAATTTTACCAGCTGGGGTTCTGCCTTCTGCAGATATTTAATGAAATTTAATGAGATGGAGACTTGGCTACATAAGGCCTGCAAGGAAAGCAGCTATGGTGATTCTGGAAAAGTTGCTCGGGCAGGTAGGATAACATGGGATCCGCTGGGTCAAGTTCTTGGTGATTTTTTGGTAGACATTTCATCCAGAAAAGTCCATGCAACAACTACTCCTTTCATCTGTGGTCCACAAAATAAAGAGCTCTTCCATGCTCTGTGGTAAGCAGAACAAAGAAGAACACAGCTAAGGACATTGGTCTGACAAGGTTGGATTTGAAACAAGCAAGCAAAACCAAACAAGAGTAGTAAGGTGAAAGCTAGGAAAATGGAGTAAGAGGCCAACTTCTGCCATGACCTTTGTTTAAGCCTGGATTTTGCTGAATTATGGCGAACCTTGAAGATCTTGGGAAGAGAGTACAGTATTTGATCAAAGAAAGTAAATTTTCCACAAATTTCAACTTGGACAAATGAAAAATACATTATTGCTCTGCATTTATATATTGAATACAAAAAATGAAATTAATTAAAAATGAAACCTTTTGTATTTATCTTCATAGCCCAAACTAGCAGTCACCTTGTGATTTGCTGTGAAACTTGAGTTGTCCCTGGACTGACTGCAAGGAAAAGCATGGCACAACTTGTGCTACATAGTAAGAGATATCTAGTGCTGGATAGTAGAAAAACAAAAGATAGAGAACAATTCAAACACAGGGCAGCTTGCCCTTTTTGTGTTGTATCTTGCAGTGCAAATAAGTTGGGGAAAGGAAGTAAATCTCTTTCAAAGCTTGCTCTCCTGCACAGCTTTGACAGCTGAATCATAATCTGTCATGTGAATTGCAAGCCTCTCTGTCCTTCACTATAAATAAGAGTAAATTAAATCATTTGAATCTAAAAAATAAAATAAAACGCAGTGATTGTAATATAGCACTAGTAATGAGTAAAAAGCAGACTTTATCGAAGTTTATCATGATACTTTTATTTTGAAAGCAAGTACCATTTATGTAAGTTGAAATACGATTTATATTTTAATTAGTAACATTCAGTGAGTGTAGAAGTGCTTGGAGATTCTGTTAAGTATCTCACCACTTGCTGATTGTCTCAGCTACATGATATTATTTCCCTCTTTATACTTCCCTGCAATCCTTGCTCTCTATTTTCTGGCAATCAGCTGTCTCTCTTTGTTCCTCTGACTCTCAGCAGGGCTTCTCTCTGTCTTCCAGTGTCTGTGAGATCTGAGTGCTTATCATGCAGCACCTTGGCATCCTGTTACCTCTCTCAAATTTCCTGCATAAAACTTCTGGCGGCTTACATGGTGCTTTTGGGTATTTATTTCAAATTTATGGATCAGTGGTATTTCCCAACTGAAATCTCCAGGAAAAAATAATGTCAAATGCCACTCCAGCGTTCTGCCTCAGCTTTGTTAGAACTGTGGGATAAGTTTCGAAGTTTAATTCTTTGCAGTATCAAAGAGCAATTGGCAGGGAAGGGATTCTTACTTTGAATCAGCTTTTCTTTATCAACTTGGAGGCTATCCAGAGCACTTCTTCATTTAGAGCCACAAACACAAATCATCCAGTTCACAATAAGGCCATGTAACTGTATATCTAGAAGTCTGCTTCTTTAGAAAGAGTGAGGGTAGTGTGCAGATGGATTTCTGTATAAGCAGATAAACAGGAGAAAATCTGTGGAGTGATTAGGAAGGAAACCACATTTTTTCGTGAGACCAAAATAAATTAGATACAAAATAGACCAACTATTCCACACATTCCTGATTTTTCTCAATTCTAAAAAAAAAAAAGCACAATTTCTTGTTACCATGTACTGACTTATTCATATATTTGAGTCTGAGGTTTCTGTAAGTATTTTAGGCCTGCAGTGATGAAAGGAACATTTCTCCATAAAAGGCAAAAGGAACATTTCTCCATAAATTTATCCGAAATTCAGCAGCAATGAATTAGTGTCCAATAAGAACAAATTATGGTTTAGTGTTGAAAAAAAAGTTGCAAAATGCAGGTCTATTAGTTCTGCTGGCATAAGAAGCCATCTATTGGGTAGTAGAACAGTTGAAAAAAAAGATGCTACTGTCTATTTACTTTCCTATAGGGTGCTGTTCTTTCTGGTCTGTACAATAGTATTTTTGGACCATGGGTTTTTTCAAGATCATGTTATTAAAAACAGTGCCCCTAGCACATGGTTTGATCACCACAGAAAGTCTTACACAACATGCTCTAGTATTTCAGAGCTTAATATACTCTGATCTTAGCCATTATTGTTATTCTGGGGTTATGTGAAGGTGGTATCCCTAGATTCTAGATGGGTTTGGTGTTCTTTCATGCTGCTGTTTGCACAAATGTATGAGATCTTTCACTTCAAATGGAAGAGGTTGTTTAAACTGAGCATTTTTTCCAAACCTTTCTAGAAAGCTCTGCCATTTTCCTTGTTGGTGTTTTCTTGTTTGTTGGTTTGGTTTGGTTTGGTTTTGGTTTTTAACCAAGCTGTATTTTTCTTCAACAGGAATTAGTTTAATGACCTATTTCATATCTGACACTGAATAGCTGTCTGGAGATGCGAAATTTCTGTAGTGAGCTGTTCTGGATTCATTGTAATAAAGGCCACGACTGTCTACCATTACAGTTTCCATGAATAATTGATTACTCTAAGGAAAAGCTCTGATTCTTTATTTATCAAATAACCCTTTACTAACAGATTAGATTAAAGTGAATCATGGGAACATAAGCATAGAAAAAGTTGTTTGTTTTTTTGTTTTTTGTTTCTCAGACACCTACAAATTATGCTGTGTGAACACTGGTTATCATCAGAGACAATTAGTTGCATTTGCATCATGAATATCTGTGAATTTTTAACAATACAGTTTAAAAATTAAGACTATCAGTGTCTTTACCAAGTTACTGTAAAGCTATTATGAGATTTTAAAAATAGGTTTCAAATGCTTCTTGTGGAGGAAAAATAAATTGATCAATGAATTAGAAGTTGATTTGAGTCCTCCATGTAAAATATCTTGAGTAGCTTTTGTGAAATTCTCTGCCAAAATGGTACATTTTTTTAATGGGACCCTGACTTACAGATACTACCAGGTCAGCATTCTTGTAGATGTTAGTTCACACTAATGTTTCTCATGAAAGTCAAAATTCTCCCTTAAAGTAGGGTTTATTCAAAATAGTTTCTTCTAAATGGCTGTGAAAATAATCTTTGGAGGACTTGAATTTTTCATAGGTTGCATAGAAGTTGTTTTATAGAAAAGATTAATTTATTTGTTCCTGGAAATGATTACTTTTTTCATAATAATGGCTATTGTGTGTTATTCTGGAATTATTTCTATATAATATTCTTTCACATTTCAATTGATCCTTTTCTTAGTAATTTTATTTAAAATATTCATCTTTCATTTAGTGAACTAGCTTTTCTATGATATAAAAAACATAAAGTAGTGTTTTGATAAGGAAACTTGTTCAGCATTTACAGCTTATAGCTTTCTTCAGCAAAGGGAGATTGGTGTGTATAGAATTGAACTAAGAGTATATACTTCAAAACAGCTAATGACACTTCTCTTTATTCATTTCTGTATTACCTCTTTATAAAACTGATTGAAGAATAAATATTTATTTTCAAAGAAAAATAATAGTTTTCTGTAGTGTGGGGTATGGCATGGCATAATGCAGAATTCGTTTTGGGACTATAGATAACATAGCATACAGTGAAACAGCAAAAGGTTTTATTTTTCTTTTTATTCTCTCTTTACAGATGGACCCAATTCAAAAAGCTGTAATAAATCATACATTTGGGGTTCCTCTTCCTCATCGAAGAAAGCAAATCATATCATGCAACATTTGCCAGCTGAGATTTAATTCTGATGTAAGTCGATCATTTTGTATCAGATTAGAAATATGTACTTATCTTCTAGGATGTGCCATAATTTGCATAAATTGAACCTAAATGAAATGTTGTGATTTCAGTTTGTGGCTCAGCAGATGAAACGGCTGTAGGATGCTTCAAATAAACACAATTATTTGGTTGTGTTTATACACCCGGCCAGATTTTCCCTGCGGATATATCTCTGCAAGCTCATCAGCTTCAGTTGTGCTGCACAGAGTGTAAATAGGAAAATGGATTGATCTATGACTGGTAATAAGGCTGAAATATTTGCTGTGTCCTAATTCTTCCACCAGCCCTGGTTATGTTTGCCTTCCTTTTCAGCTAGCTAACATTTAACTAAATGTTAGAAGTTACTCAGATATACTTATAGTACTTGTGGATCTACCTTCCTTTTTCTACTCTTTACAATATCTCTGTCTAGCCAGAATTGTATTGTAATGTTCCTGCTCTAGCAGCACAAGCTTAAAAAAAAAAAAAAAAAGTAGGTGATTTTTTTTTGTCAGTTGGCTCCTACCTTACATACTCTCCACCAATGAAAATGCTCCTTGACAAGGAATACCTGTTCTGTCACAGAAAAACTCCCAGAATTTAACTCCTTTATTTTCTTCTCAGGATCATTTCGCGTGCAGAAAAAACCTGAAATAGTACATTATATTGTCTTCTGATATACTAGTCTCTCCAGGAAGTTTCTTGACATGGGCATCGCTGATGGAAACTTATCTTCCCCTAGCAAATGTCTTTCAGTTACTACCTGGTTTGCTAATTTAAATATGGGAGTTACTTCTGTCAGAACAAAAATGTTTGAATTTAGAGTGTGGTCTAACCCAAAAATGTCCACAAGGTTCCTTCCTCATGCTAGTCATATGAAGAAGGGGAATAATTCTTGTGTGCTACTGCCTCTTTGTAGGTCACTATTTATGTACAGTTCGTACTTATTTTTTGTTTATCAATTATTTATCAAAGCCATGAACTTGTCAAAATCTTAAATTGAACCTTGAAGACTTCTTCTAAGGTTTGGCCATCTAGGGATGAAAATAATGCAGCTCTTCATTCCCTTCAGCTTTTTATTCCTCAGAAATAATTTTAACAAATCACGGTCACAATATCCAGATCGGTCAGCATCATGTACTTACTTTTACTGATGACTCCAGGTTTTCTAACTCAGAGACTGAATGGACACTGTCTTCTTATAACACTGACAACATTCTCAAACAGTGGTGCAAGGAAGGGTAATACAGTCTCTGGAGCTGTCGTGTCCCTCAGATAAAAATAGAAGAGTCAGATTAGGCTCTTCCATTTAGAAGCCAGATGCTAGAATTAGGAGTGTGGATACCGAGCCAATCGTGGGGAGGGGGTGATGGAGACTTCTGGGCCACAGTGGATCGTACTGACTGAGTAGCCCAGCTCATCACTCATAATTTTCAGCTTTGTCTTAGGAAAAAGCGTGTCCCGCTGAATCATACGCAGTGTGTAGCTGCAGGAGACACAACACCTCAGTGTTACACACCGAAGTGAAACATTCCCTTTCAAAGAGGGTATACCATTTGTCAGTCTGCAAAACAATCCAGACAAAAGAGAGGATGAATACAACATTAAAATGACTTAGTCATAGGCAAATACTCAGACTGATACATAGAGTAGAAAATTTTCCAGCTGACAAGACTTAGGCATTTCCCAGAATAAAATACTTGAAATAAAAATTCTACACAGAAGCAAACAAGATAGCAGTGGACACTGATACTTCTTACTCAGAGGATTACTGTGCACCCATTCTGTTCCTTTTCTGCTGCTCTTAGAAAGAATTCCAAAGAAAAGAAGGGGAAGAAGCAGTGGCCATTTTCAGAGTCACTTACAATGTCCAAAAAACTTTTTTCAGAAGAAATCTATTCATTTAGACTGTTCACAGCAAACTCTTGGAAGAAAAGCCATTAAACATATATTTAATTGTCTCTTCACACTTTCAGATGAGAAGCTTGAACTCTAGTTTGCCAACATTGTTCAGTAGAAGGTTGTTACAATGCTCCTCTGTCTCAAAGTAGATCAGTATCATTAACTTTATTGAATGGGGAGATGTTCTTGCTGAGTATCTTTCACTTTCCACTTCAAATATTCACCTTATTTTTAAAACAACCCCAGTGTTGCTGATTGAGGGAGCGATTATGATCCAAATGCTTCCCAGTGATTTACCTGGGATGATATCTCTCCTCCTTTTCCCTACCATAGAAAAGAGATTTTTGGATATCGTTATGATGGTCACTTCTCATTCCTATTCATATAATTATTACTGCAGAAAATCACAAGGTACTCTGCTGCAGCTTTTCAAGAAATAGTAAGTCATCAGAGTTCCACTGCAGTTTGGAAATGCTTTTCTGTAATGTGAAGGTAATAGGTAGAACTAAGTTCCTCAGTTGCTTGGATAATTCTGAATGTCTACCAATTTTTGAAGCAAAAATGTGCTAAACTAAAGATTTAATGTTGAGACTTAAAGGAAAGAATGCTTTGAAGAAAAAGAGCTATTAGCTATTATGTTTTCATAACTCTGCTATATGAATGGCAAGCAGACACATTGTAATTTTTTCTCTTATTATTATGAAAACGTTTTCATTTACTGGATATTCCTACCTTTCATTCTCATCATATTTTTGCTAACATGATTTAAAACCATAACAACAATAAATAGCTTTCTGTTCAGAAACCTAGGGCTTTGTGGCTGTTCTACAATGTGTATTTATTTTTAGATGCTGGAGATAGGATTTATCAGAGAGTAATGAACAGAAATTCCATTTGCCTACTGCACAACAGTATTATGAAAATGTTTACAATAAAGCTAGTCTGTGAGATTTTTCATTTTTGCAGAGAACACAGAATTTTATCCCCTTTCATACAGATTTCTTTCGGAGCAGAAGAGCTTTTTTTCTGGTTACGCGGTATCAAAATTGCATTTCAGAGAAAAATGAGAAAAGGCAGTACAATAGTCTAAAATTGTTTAGCTTCTTTCTAAAGGAGTTATCTATAAATCTTCATGACAGCTGTGTGTTCAGTATTTCTTTTTAAAATAAATCTTCTCATACAAGGGAAGGGAGGAATGAGCAAGTAACCAAAGCCTCTCCATGCTGAGAAAAAACATTAGAAAAGCAGAGGTAGGTTCTGTGGAGTCTGTTTCAAGCAGTGACTTTTTTTTTTTTTTTTTTTTTTTACACTGACAGAGATCTATATATTACATTCACATTGTGCATCTAATACAGGGCAAAGCATTTAAGTATGTGCTTAGCTGCAAGCATGCGAGTTGTCATGTAGATTTTGGCAGCTGCTGAGAGCTATTGCACCAGTTAAATGCATGCCTTGTAGAAAACGTTAAGCATCTGCTAAAAGCTCACAGTAAAATGAAGTCCACGTGACTTCAATAGGACAAATCATGTGCCTACAGCTAGTTGTAGGAGTAAATTCTCTGCTAACATGAGTGATCATGAGTGATCACAAATACACACACATCCCAGCCAAAAAAAAAAAAACCACCACACAAACGCAAAACCACACCAAACAACCCAATAGCTTCGAAAAATAGAGCTTAGTACATTTTCCTCAGTTTTTGATCACCTGTCTTGGCTATTTGATCTTTCTTTGCTCTCTTTTCTAATTTCATCGTTTGATTAAGGTAGTGACAATGTCTGTTAACAAGGTCAATTCTTGCAGAGGGATTCTCTCTTTCTTCCTTCCCATTTGATGCAGATGGATGAGTGATAATCCAGCTTCCCTTTAGAGAAAGGTTGGCCAGTGTTTTTATGTACTCACAGGACTTGAATTCTGTTATGATACATTGTAAAAATATTTCCGAATATGTTAGCCAGAAATTATTGTTTTACGTAAATAGCAACAGTAGTAATATTCTCCTGAAAGTCATGAACTGAATGCTCATCATGGAGTCCTTGATGTTTTTTTTTTTTTACCTTGTTTTTCTCCATCTTTTTAAAGCAAAGGTACTGCTGAATCAATACATAGTTGTTGTAGTTGTCACGATTCAAAAAGTGCTGCTTTGGTAAAAGAATAGTGAAGGATATTTTGGAGGATAAGGAGTTTATTATGGTTTACATTTTCATGGGGAAAGAAGCAGGACCAGAGGAGTTATATCCTATTAAGGTTATGCTTGGTATCTAGAACAAATGATTAAAGTATCAATTTGTAGGCACCTAGGGGATAATAAGATGATAAGAAACAGCCAACATGAATTTGTCAAGAACAAATCATGTCAAACCAATCTAATTTTCCCCTTTGACAGGGTAATTGGTCTAATGGATAATAGGGAATAAATAGATGTGATATATTTTGGCTTTAATAAGGGTTGATACAGTTCTGTGTGACAACCTTATAAAGTGGGGGAATATGGTCCAGGTGAAATTGTTAAAAGTTGTTTGCACAACAGACTGAATAACTGTACTAAGAGTAGTTGCTGATGGTTTCCTGTCAAAACAAAGGATCACTACAAGTCAGGATCTGCAGGGGTCTGTTCCATGCTTGCTGTTAGCCTAAATTTTCGTTAGCAATGTGCCTGACAGAAGAGAGAGTACATCTACCAGGTTTGTGGCTGACACCTATATGGAGGGTGGCAGGCACTTGATGGAAGGGGGCAAGTTCCAGATTGCAGTCCAAAATTATCTTCACCAGTTGGAGAAAATAGTCTGGAATTTTGACAAGTGCATTAAATAAAAGCACAAAATATTGTGCCTAGACTGGAAAATTTGCACAAGTAGTTAGATGAGAAATGTCTGGTTTAATGGGCAAAAAGGAATTATGAATGACAATCTGAATATACATTAACAATTGCTAATGGGGAAAAAAAGAAGGAAAAATAAATCCACCCATCCAACTAACCCTATGATAATTTTTATTTTCCCCAAGAGGGTTTCATTTATCAATAGACAGGTAGAATTCCACAGTATTTGAAATTGGCAATGCCTCAGGTGAAGATTTATTTACAGCAG